TCTGTTGCCGGCATCTTCGCCGAGGCGCCCTCCTCCGCCCACGATGTCACTCTCACCTCTGTTACCATCACATCCACTGCAACCACCCTCCTCACAATGACCTCCGCCACAGCCCAGGTCGAGACCACCGCCACCGCTGCTGTTGCTGCTGCTTCTCAGGTCAGATCCCTTGGCCAGGCTAATTCCGCCTGCACCGACGCCACCGACGGTCAGGTAATCTGCAACGGCGAGGCACAGTACAGCTTGTGCAACAGCGGCAACGTCGTCTTCCAGGATGTCCCTGCCGGCATGGCTTGCAAGGACGGGAAGGTTGTTGGTGTATAGTAAGTGATTTGCATAAGTGAGTGATTGGGGGATGGGTGTTGAGAGGTGGTGGGTGGTTGCGTGGCAGGGGTGCGTGCTGGGCTGAAGAGACTGTACTCGACACGTTTTCTCCTTTTTGCTTTGCTGTACATATTTGAGAAACTGTCATGGATCCTTCATGTAGTGCCCGGTTATGGGCAAGCTGATTGCAAATTTCTCGTCCAAATTGCTCGTGTGGTGATAAGTGAGGCCATGATATGTAGGTAATGGAAAATGAGCCCAGCCATCTTCGTTGCTTTTTTTATTGGCTTATTCATCCATTCTGAGACCACTTTACGCTCGACTCCAAGTAAATTACAGCAAAAATAAACACGCTGATTTGTTAATCATTGGACCGGTTAAGCGCTAATTTCATCAACACTTGATCAGACTATGCTAGGCTTAGCTAATACCGCCAGTCGTCCCTCACATGTGCGTTGAACTCCTCCTTCAGATAGCTAACACTAAGCTATCCAAGAAATTGGCTCAAGCATGCAATGCGGTCCTGCATGGCGCAAGGGCGGACCATGCGTATAGGAACTCTGGCTAGTCATGAGACTTTAGGGTGGTCAAAACGAAAGCTAATCAATTGCGGGTGGCGAGACAATGCTGCACCATCACGTAGCGAGAAAACATGCTTTATATCATTAAGATCTTCTGAACCTGCTTTCTTACTGTCAGTTCAAATCTGTCTTCGGTGTTGCAGTCAACCCGACTTGGGATTCAAGGAATCGCATCGCGTTCATTCCCTGATGTGCAAGAGAGCGATATCCAGCCGAATTAATTTTCTTAGTTGGCATCCACTTTGTCTCCAAGATCGACGAGAATTCTCACCATCTCCTCGTGCCCGTTCTCTGCCGCCCAGGAGAGCGGCGTCCGGCCATATTCATCCTTTGAGTTAGCTGATGCTAGCCAAAACTGTTGGTTTGGCCGCTTTTTGAGTAATAATCGAAACAATACATCTAAGCCAAAGAATGCAATAGCATGGGTACCTAGCCATTCTGGATGGTCCTGGGAATCTCCCCATTGACTTACTGGCACAAACATAGCTTGGCTTGCAGAGTAAGTGCAGCCTTCGCGAGAGAGAAAGGTGTGTGCGAGATCGATTACCTTATCTTCGATGTCTTTGCAGTGCTCTCCCCAGTAACGGGCCGCATAGTCAAGAAAGACGTGTTCGCCCGTACGCCTCTCGAACTCGTCGTTCGGTACGACATGGTCCACAGGCGAAAACATCGAAAGTAAGGTACTGAAGGCAGGATCTTGCCAACTATGCTCCGGCGAACTGAACCCATTGGGGAGAGTTCCTCTCAAAGTACTCTTTTGCTGTATAATGGACGAGCTCGACAATGTTACTTTCCTGGTCGATGAAGATCAGCCCCGCACATACCGAAACGATCTTCGCGAGGCTTGGAAGGTCTTTGCTGTCGAGTTCTCGGCGGCCAGGTTTGACTCCAAGTGCGTGCTGGAGTTCCCTGGCGACCAATGGTCTCCGTGCAAGAACGACCCATGAGAGAGCATTGTGAGCCCACTCCTTCTCATCCGACGTCTGTGCAGCGATGCGTTGGATGGCTCTGTCGTATGCTGTCTCCAGAGAGCCCATGTCCTTCTGTGAGTGCTTGAATACATCCAGAGCTTCCTCTATTTCTCCCTTGGTTCGTCCTCCTTTAAGCGAATCAAAATGAAGCCTGGCAAGAAGGAAGCTTAGGCAAAGCGCGTTAATTCGTATACACAAACACCAAGGTATTCACACTTACATTTCATCAATAGCCTCAGAAATCTTCCGTTTAATATTCTGTTGTAGGGTTTCATCTTCCCGGACGCAGCCAGGTAGCTCTTGAAGTCGGCTTTGCAGGTATATCTCAACGTCGTTCTCGTTCGCTCGAATTTGCAGCCGCGGGCCGCCCTGAAAGTGCTTCTCTATTCCCGGAACAGGACGAGATGTTGCCAAGAAATTGATCGATGCTTCCTTCTGTACTTGACGAATCGAAGACAACAATTCTCCACGAGTTTGCTCAGAGCACGCGTCGAGCGCGTCAACTACGACGAATGTCCGATCGTAAGACTTGGCCACTGCGATCAGAGCCTTTCTCACTTGATCCCGCAATGGTTTTTTCTTCTCCTCTTCTTCACGGACTTCGTGCAAGCCAGTGATTGGATCGGGATGAGCTCCAGTCGAGGCTTGGAGAACTTATGGCAAAGGGAATTCTCTAAACCGCCAAAATTTGCCGAAGCCTTTCGTCTTCGGCTCTGAATAAGAAATAAGTAGGTTTTTATTCAAACGATACAAGGGACTGCTCCTACCGGTCTTTTAGAGGCACTAAAATGAGCAGTTAGTAAGTCGTGAGGTCGCGACAGAAGCGGCACTCTAAAGAAATGTAGGGCCTTTTTGTAAATATTGTCTGACGAAAAGAATAATATCGAGGCAAGGGTCTTACTGTCGAGGTGGAGACAGCTCGGAGTAACAGGGCGATATTTGGCCCTCTGCGTCGTGGTGCTGAAACTAGAGGAGCGCAGGGCAAACTCAGCCTAAATATCTAAAAGGAGGCTATTGAGCCATGTTATATTTCCACCATTGCGGCGGAGCTGCGCCACCGTTCCCGATAAACTTACTCCTCCGAGTATCTAGGCAGTCGCCGAAGGCTATACCTTCGCCCATGCGTTGCGGCCTTTCCTAGTGTGTTGATGGCTACCTTATGCGGCGAGCATGCTTACTGGCTAGCGCTGGCTGACGGGGTACGACGCCAGTTGCTACCCGGTTCTTAGCGAGCGGAGGGGCATGTCTGATCAACCCACACGAATCTAGCAACAAGGCGCGCAGCCGCTCCCTTATTCAGCAAGTCAATTCCCGACAAGAACACCCATCACTCCAGTACTCCATCTGAAGCTGTCCGGAGACCTCTACTGCAAGAGAGGAGTATCGATATAATCAAGGGTTTTTTGTCACAAGCGCACAGCGACGGAACAGTGTTTTGCGCGATGAGGGGCAGTGCGGCGTAGCGACAGCCCGGCAGCTCAGCCCAGCATTGCCTCCACATATTTCGGCACGGTCGCATCTGATTGGATTCCGTTTGATGCTTGTGTTAGTGGCGGCTTTTATCTCAGGCACAGCCTCTCGATCGCAGTTTGCTGCTCTGGCAACATAGCACTTCATCTATGCCTGAAATCGCGGGATTTGGTTCGCATTGATGAGCTCGGAAACGACGGAAACCCGATTAGCTCACCTACCGAGGGCGGAGCAGGAAGCGAATAAGCTGTAACTGCTGCGCTTCACTCGAGCGAGGGTCCCGATTCCCCGGGTTAGCCCCATGACACCCCTGCGTCAGAGGCGCCGCGCAACGCAGGTGCGGGCCTGACGGCCAATGGGTTCTTTAAAATTTTCACAGACAATCCCGCCATAGCCGAACTCCTGAAGGGCTCCATGCCCACTAGGTTGAACCAAAGGAAGAGCGGTGACGATGAGGCTGATAAGCGCATCAATCAGCTTGCGAAGTGCGGTGCCCTGGAGCTTAGCACGAAGGAGCAGCGAGCGTTCTGCGAATGAATCGCTCCCTGCGAAGAGGCATTTGGCCTGGATAGAGACTGGATGATAATTGTCATGAAATTCGACACCCGGTGGTCATTTCCTTTTGCGCTTTCACCGGCAGTCGACAAACGACCTGGGAGCCAGGGGCACGCAGGCGATGATCGACCTTGCTATGAGCATTCTAGCGTCCAGGCTTTGAAAAAATTCCCCACGTCCATGGAGATACAAATCTTACGGCACAGCCCGCACAGGGTAAGAGCATCAGAACTAGGGAGTGGGAACGTACACCGGAGGGCGTGAAAGGACCCATGAGGAGTCACGTGAATCACGTGACGCCAATGGGTCGATTTGTTGGATCTCGCCTGCCTCAGACATCTCAAAACAGATCAGGGATCAGCCCAGGATTGATCTGTATGCTCCCCCGCACCCCATCAGGAACATGACAGGAACACAGATCAGACAGATCAAAACACCAGATTTTACCAGCTTTCACATGTATACAAATCACACTCTTTAGAAAGCTGTAACCTCCGTGGTTAACTTATGAAGTTAATCTTCCCAATAAGATTTGGAATCTATTGGTAACAGGCCCTCCCCACACGCAGTGCTCAGTTTCGATGCTTACTTATCTCGTTCTCGCCCTCTTCTTGTACCCATTTAAGGAAAAATCCCTCGATAGGTTTCCACCCCCTTTGGTGCTTGGATCCTTAGAGATAGAGGCCCGCAGTTACAACAAGAGCTATCAGTAAGTTGCCACAATTCTCATTCACTGTGGCCTTGTCTCATTTTGTAGCCCAGCCCAGTTTAGCGATCGTGTACCATCGGAGATAAGATGGAGCGGAAGATATCGGAGGCGAGGACGTGAGAAGGCCATATTAAAGCATTAAAATCCATAAAAAGTTGAATTGAGAAGTTATGGTATACTTGAGCGTATGTTTCGAGAATAGACGAAAAGTCGAGATATTCATGGAAAGCTTCTTCCCACCACCGTGCACTATTGAATCCGCCTTGTGTACGCTAAGTCTCAAGATTCAGGCTCG